TAGCTGCTGAAAGTACGAATGATCGCGTTAAATGGTGGTCAATTTTCCAATTTATTGTTCTTTTTGGAGTATGTTTTTGGCAAGTGTTTTATTTGAAGAGATTCTTTGAAGTAAAGCGTGTGGTTTAAAATTAAGGCATATTACTAAATGCAACGTTTATTTTGAGAATGAAATTTAAGTCAAAGCATTGGTATTTGTCGCTATTTAATATTTTTCTAGATATTGGTTCTTTTAAAAAAAGGTGTCTTTAATATATTGGCAGATTTACGTTGTTTAGATATAATAATTGATTCAGAATTTATTAAAATGTAATTTGTAATAAAAAAGACGTTAAAATTATATATACAAAAAGGGTATTAGATCTGCAGATAAAAAAATTAATAAATTTTCAACCTTCATCGATAGATTAAATAATTCTTTATAATCATGCGTTATATTTAAGATTCATCCTTCTTAACTAGGTTGCTTTCAATATTTTTCTTGGAGGTAGTTTTTTCCAAATAGTTGGTAACCAATTTATCCAAATAACCACCAACTCCATTAGTTTCACTCGAAAGCATAGAATCAACAATTTTTTCTACATATTTACCCAACATATCAACTTCAATGTTAACCTTATCACCAACTTTTTTCAAAGGCATTATAATATGACTTTGAGTATATGCAACTAACATAATATTAAACCAATTTTCGGCATCGTTTACCTCGCAAACAGTTAACGAGGTACCATCTAGGCAAATATAACCCTTGGGAATAATGTAACGAAGGTATTTAGAATCCGAAGGTGAAATTTTGAACCAAAGAGAATTGACTTCTGGTGTGATCGAAATTATTTCTCCTGTTGTATCAACGTGACCCTGTAGTAATACGATTTTGAAATAATTAAGAAATTGATAGAATGTAGGACTTTGGTCATGTAGTGGTAATATCAGTAAATGCAGTAAATGAAATTATTGGCCGATATCGCGCTACTGGCACGATATGATATTATCCAGCACATGATCCAATATCAGACGACGTTGGGAAATTCATGACCATGTTCTACAAATCAATATAACTTTCTCATTACACAGATCAAGTCATGGTCATATTATTTGCCCGAAAATTCTTGACATAGTTTCTTTACTTGTACAAAATGTCCACCAAATCTAATGTTAGCTGCAAGTGCTCTTTCCAAATTCACTTTATTCCCAATTTTCAAATCACCTTTATGAAATTTTAAGAATCAGTTTAATTATATTAATAAATAAAATATATACAAAACATACTCCAAAAAGAACAATAAATTGGAAAATTGACCACCATTTAACGCGATCATTCGTACTTTCAGCAGCTA